TAAGTACTTAGCGTTACTATCATATATCACGTCTAATTTATTAGAAGTGAGGAGATACTTAAATACATTAATGAAAAAAATGGGATTAACATTTGAAGATACGGTTGAACTTAGACAGTGCTTAAACACGATGGTGACACATTGGGTGGGCTTAGTTACACGACTTCTAACTTAAATATTTATTACTAGTCAAACAAAGAAGGCAAGGAATGCAGGAAGTGGCGAAACAGTCCACATGCGACAGAAACGCTTAAACATTTTCTTTTTAAATTCGAATTAATGGTTAAACTTGGCCGTGGAATGATTTAGTGGTAAGAGATTAATCTTGTCACATGAGTCATTTTGTCTTTCTAGTGGGCATCATTAGTTACGGAATAATAGTGTGGGTACAAATAGATTTCAGTCTTGGCAGCGTAAAATGAATAAAAATGTAACCCTATTTTAAAATACTCTTGAAATTTTACATGAGTCCGCACTTTGACAGATTTATGTTTGTATGTTGAGATGCATGTGTTGTTAAGATCCGTGTGATGAAGTGTAAGGAAGAGGCCATCTGCTCTTTATTCGTCCAGTTTTCAAAAGAATAAGAAGAAAACTTTGTCAACTTAAATTGTCACCACGAATGTTCTACGAAGTCGCCATAAGCTTTGAATTGTTTGCCACTTCCGGTTTATAACCAGGTTTTTGGAATGGTTGTTATTGTTAGTATTCCAAATGTAAAAACTAGCAATAACTCAATTTTGTCATCTTACGAGACCCTCCTTCTTTCTGTCTTCCTCACTGACCATGTTTCGCTTTCGTATAGAACTTTGCTCCAAACACAACTTCGGAAAAATCTTTCTTAATTCCAGGTCAATGTTTTGACACTAGTAGACTTCTCTTTTTGAAGAAGTCTCTTTTCGCTTGTGCTAATCTGATTTTAATGTCTTCCTTGCTGCGTCCATCTTTCGTGAATTTGCTTCCTAAATAAAAGAATTGGCGAAATAGGAAACCCCCCGTCAACTAATAAATATTCCACAGTCAACATTTCATGTACCAGCTGCAGTCAGAAAATCTTTCATTACGTCTCAGTGGTCAAGCTATTTTACCTACAGCTTCGTTTTGTCCGTTCGCCGTGGACATCTGTAGTGCGATTATATTATGAAGTTCAGGACTTTGCAAATACAAAGTAATATAAATGCGTAGGAATTTAATTAAAGTCAGAATTGTGCACGGACCATTTTATACGAGAAACAAGCGAAGGTTCTGGAGGGGAAAATCCATTATGCACGTTACTAAATGAAAAGTCTGGTGGAGTACGAGAAAAACAAACAAACAAACATTGGCCTTGTAATCCTGGGGTCTCGGCTTCGATTCCCGAATTTATAACTTTTGTTGGGCAAGGCCGTGGTCTAGGCAACACGGAGTTTTCCTCCGTGGCCTCCCAACAATTACTCCATTCACACACAGAAGAAGGCAATGGCAAACCACTTCTGGATCATCTGCCAAGAACGTATATGAACAGGTCCCAGTCCAAGAAAAGGATGGAAGGATCCTGTTCATATGGACCTGTCCTCAGACAGAACACTACAAATAAAAAAAAAACGAGTTAATGCTGGGGAAGAACTGAAGAATACAGGTTTATTGCCGTGTTTACGTGGGCAGTAGATTGCTTTATAAGTGTTGTACATAATGAAAGAGAATTTTAAAGGAACGGTTTTACATTAGTCCTTTCGATGCTTTTGTTAAGAGTACTTAAATTATATTTAAGTTTACATAATTTTATACACCTGAAGATGGTTCTTTTAGAACTGAAACATGTCGTGTAAAAAAGTGATGATCTAATGTAAATCGAACATTTCGATAGAGAACATCATTTAATATATTTTAAATATTTATATGTTAATTATTGTAATATTTTAATATTTAATAGGAATTTTATTGTGATTAGACTGACAAGACTTAAACAAATACTTATACTCTCTTATTTTAATACTTGTCTTTACAAAGCGGCCTGGTGTACCGACAGTGTTTTAGACATGCGTGCCAAGGATGGACGATTAGAATCTCGAGAGAATTGCCGATTATTCTGAATTTTTGTTGTTGTTTTTTCCTCAGTATTTCGGGATGAATGCTAGGATTATACACAGATTCTGGACGCTAATTCTGCTTTCCGCTTCTTGGTCGTTTTTCATTATCTACCGATCTCATTTGGCACTGTTTAATTCTAACCTCTGTTGTAGATACAGAGTCGTTACATACCCAAGAATGGAATTCTTTCGTTAAATGTGGTTTTATGTTTCTGCATTATTTTTAAAACTTTCCTAAAACCTACGGATTTTGTACATTACTGGTACGTATTTTGATGTTAAGTGAGATTACATAGTGTGATCTACTGAAAGTGTCGTTTAGTAAATAAAAAATTAAAATAATTATATGTATAAGAATAGAAGTACTGTGTGACAGCCATCTCCGCCTCTCTGTCATTCTCAAAACGCTGACGCTGACGCTGACCGGACAGGAATTTCTTGAGGTGTAGGAAAAGATGGAAATCACTGGGAGCGAGGTCCGGGCTGTAGGGTGGATGATTAAACACCTCCCAGCTGAACTTCTGCAGGAGACTTGCTGTCCGTCGAGTCGTGTGCGGCCTAGCGTTATCACTGACCGCACTTCACAGTCGGCGGGGGCTGGAATAAGAACCTCCATCTTCAACAGCTGCAACGATGCTACTGTGAGAACGCGGGAAGTGCCGTTAGTGCATGCGCCATGCTACGTCATTGCTCTATCACGTACGCACAGTCGCTTCGCGCAATATAAGGTTTGCTAGCTGTGGGACGAGTGGGAAACTTACTTTGAGGACGCGCCTCGTATATGAAATTCAGTAGTTTTGTGTTTTAACGACACATTTCGTACGCTTATAACCGTGTTCTGTTTTATTTCGGTATCATGTACGAGATTGTTTGTCTTTTTGCTGTCAGCGTTTTTCAAATTTGAGGAACGCTGGTTTCATTAATAGACAACCATAGTCCATGGCATAAACCCGTGTAGATGGTTAGCCACCGAGATCCAAGACCAGATTTATGTTTTGTTTGCTTAAGATGGATTTATTTCTAAACGAGAATAGAAACGTTCTTAAGTTGGCGCTGGTGTATGATGCTGCTTTAGTGTGTATCTCTCGTCTGAAATACAGCTCCAGGATTAATATTTTAAAATGTTTATTTTCTGAACTTATTTCCAAGTCTGTAATTTATCATGTGAAGGTACCGTAATCTAGAAACACATTTTAAATGGCCCGTACTTTATGTTTGGTGACTGAACGTCACGGCTTAGTGGTTAAAATTCCAGCTTCGCATTGAGGAGGTTCCGGGTTTAAATCTCGGCTTAGAAATTAGGTACTCTGACTGAGGTTTTTCGTGGTTTCTCTCAGTCCCTTTAGGTAAATACTGGAATAGTAGCCCTGTCTTAAATTAGGCCACGACTGCTTCTTTCCAACTGGTTTCTAAATCATCATTCATTTTTGATTATTAATCTCCCCTTCATTTGACTGTATATAGTCTCAACTACCTACAGCGTCGTTAAATAAACCACAGACGAATACATAAATAAAAATTAGGTTTTATAGTTCATAAAAGTTTTACATAAAATAATTTCAGTAATTCAAATGTTAATGTCTTTTGAATGTGGCAAAACAGAAATAAGTTGATTACTAATAACTGTGTTGTCTTATATTTTAATGGACAGCCTTTTTTCGATGCGTAAATAAAGATGCAATGATATAAAACGAATTAATTTGTTTGAAAATATAATATAATAATATTGTATTGTGATATGAAATTGGAGTGAGCTAGGAAAGAATACACACACTAAATCTGTAAAACTCGTGTCAATTGGTGAGACTGTCTCCACGAACTGCGGTCGCTAACGGGTTCATTGTCCATCCTCCAGAGTAGCGGCGGAACGATTCTGGCAGAGGAAAGCCGAAGGACTCGGTGAGAAACCTCTCCCAGTGCCTGTCCTCCAAAAATCCCACATGGACTGACCCTGAAGTGAATCGAACCTCGGTCGTTAGTATCCGGCGACTAACCGCCTGTCTTATGGCACGGCCCATATGAGAATCATGCAGAATCCATAAACGAATTCTGTGTTAAGAATCAGTTATTTTATTTATTTATTATTATTTAGTGTTCTGTCTGAGGACAGGTCCATATGAACAGGATCCTTCCATCCTTTTCTCGGACTGGGACCTGTTCATATACGTTCTTGGCAGATGATCCAGAAGTGGTTTGCCATTGCCTTCTTCTGCGTGTGAATTTTTTTGGAATCGAACCCGAGACCCCAGGATTACAAGGCCAGCCTTCTAACCGCTAGACCAGTGTTAAAAGGGATGGTAAATGTATGTTACCACTTGTATCACAGAGTTAGCGGGGTCTGATAGATTAGGAATTTACTCTACTTCCTTAATTTTCTCCTTGAAGAAGGAGCCTCTAAATGCTGTAGACATAATCGTCATATCATTGGACTAGAATTGATTTGTGATAATAGAGTCTACAGGTTGCCACGTTCCGTCCTCTGCTTTCAGCCTGTGCAAACAACGAATACAGTTCTTATGGCTTGTCCATTCGCTGTATAAAGGTCGAAAGTGTTGGGTTTTTGCTTGTATTTGGCGGTCGGCGATAAGATTTTCCTTCTGGCCTCGCCGCTTGTTTGTAACGCCTCATAACCGGAATTTTTTCCAGCCTAATTATCAGTCAGTTAGAAATAATTTGGCAGCTAATTAATTTTATACGTCCTTGAACAATGTTTGTTTTTTCCTGTTGTTATATCGCTAAGTGTTTTATATACAATGTTCGCATGATGGCAGTATAAGGCATACGATTATGGTCACATATTAGTGTTAGCTGTTGCCGCTAGATGGTGCATGGATGTGAATTAAAATATTTTGGTATATTTTCGTTTTTCTGCGATGTATGGAACTGCTTCATGGAACCGATTTCAACATTGATTTTTTTCTCTTGTTACAGCTCCCGTCGCTGGGGACTTTCAACGAACAGGTAGGGAAATTTTGCAAAGCAATTAACGGACATTGTACATAAATTAGCAATGTCTGCCTCACCTCCTAACTCTGGTACAATCCGCCATTTTCCACGGAACTTTCCATATTGCCGTTTCTCCCATCGTAATTCTTAGGTCGGTCCATCGAAATTTTGATTTCGAGAATATAAAGTGAAAACTAATACAGACTGTTATCTAAAATACAGGAACAGCTTGTCACTCAAAAATAAGGACAAATAAAGATTTTACGGATAAATTTCTTTTGAATATTTAATTCTTTGTTTAGTAAATTTGGTCAATATTGGCCTTTCTCGAATTTGTCTGACAGGGAACATTCATATGACAAATGGGACTTTGACTAATCATTTCCAATACATCTACGAAGGAAAGGAAGTAAAACAGAAAATAATTGGCGAAAAATAAATAAAAATGTTGGAATTAATGAAAAAGATAAGAAAACAGCAAATCGGTACTGTTCTGATTTGTGATTTAGGTTATAAATTCATGTGATTTACTGTGCATTGAGAAGTAAAATATATTCAGCTATTTGTGTTTCGTGAAGATCTGCCTGAAACATAAGTATGTACAGTTCCCTTCATATTTTGTGTACACAGGTTTTTGTAAATTACGATCTGGAGTCAGAGTCGTATGTCCTGTTATCTGTGAGACGATTTCCGAAGTACCTTTTTGCTAGTTTTCTGTTTCTCGTTGTTTGTACGAATAACACAATCAACCAGCGTGTTCGCAACGGAAAGATACAAAAATGGCCATATTAAACGACGTCGTACCTATTTATCCTTCCGTCTGTCTGCAAGTAACAACTCCAAAACCGCTGAACGAATTATTATTTTTATTTTTATTGGGAGTGTTATTAAAATTCGTCAACATATTCCAGTTTTGGTTAAATTCGGTTACCAATAACGATCACAGACCTACGTGAACTCTTAATTGTCGAAATGTTTATCGGAAATACAAATGTTTCGAACAAATTTAGAAAACACTTTTAAGAAACGCTTTCTGTACAGCGTATCATCAGATATTTCGGATTAGACCTTTTGACCTGTTCCAATTTATAATTGTTTTTGAAATTATGGATCAGTTTAGACAGTTTGACGGCCATAAGTCCGTCGCTCGGACTGTACCTGCACAGTACAACACAAATACCAGGACAATCCATGCCCTGAGCGGAACTCGAACCCGCGATCCAATTTATTCAATATATGTAAAATGAAAATTAAGTCGTTAAAAATCCATAGAATAGATTATTCAATTCATCCAGGGACTTGATAAACCGCGTAATGTTCCATGTGTGGACATTGTGATTTGGAAGTGCATTTTGGAAACCTGTTACCGTAGGCGTAGATTTCCTTTTCCATCTAAGCGTTGGTCTTGCCTTTAAGCTTTTAAGAATGTGCCAATTTTGTTTTATTATTTTTGTAAGGGAGTTGTTTGCCAGGACGAGCCACGAAGGCCCTCTGGGTCGTACGTGGAGTGAGAGTTTCTTCCATGACCTACGACGACCTCTGTTCAACGCCGCGCCCCTCCACACAAATGCTCTTCTCAATTCCTGAAGGTCAGGGTGTGTATCAGAGGTGTTAAAACAGTGAGATCCGTGATTGCTTGATTATTTTTCGAAGCTTTGGTTGTCTAACGACGCTTTTTCAAATACATCGGTTAAATCGTTGAATGGATAGATGATTGTAAAGAATAAAATTGAGACAACTCTAAGACTGATCGAGATGTATTTCAAGGTGCTTTCCTGCAAATTTTCTGAAGGAACTGAGGAAAATTACGAAAAACCTCCGGATATCCGGTCTGAGTGCTGAGATTCGAACCTCAGTCCTCCCAAATACGAAGTGATAGTGCGACGTCCAGACCCTAGACACCCACAGGACACTCGGTTTGAGGTTCAGACTGCTTTGAAGATGTCGGTGTTGGGTCTTCTGGGTTGTAACGTCATGTGGACTTGTCGTTATATACAAGCGGAAACACATACTGCCTTCATCTTCAGGGCTGAAGGCATCCACCTACAAAATGGTACCGGGGAATTTTTACCCCCCCTCCAAATCTTTGTGTCGTAGGGCTTAATTAAGCATCGGGAAAAACTTCACCATTTTCCTCATATCTTTTATAAGTAATTCTGAAAGTTGCCTAATAGAAACAGCACTTGCCGTCGTCTAGCGCCGTTACTGAGAACTTGGTCGGTCGTGCGTGACGTACACATTGTCCTGTCATATGCTGCAAACACTCGACGTGTTTCCGAGCATTAGCAGAGAAATCGTAAATAGTCTTTGTTCGAGCGGGTGCGTGGTGTGATAGGTTTTTGTTTCATCTGAGCTCTAACCAGGCTTTACCTATTTCGGTGTTGTGCCAATAGAGTATTTCACCGCCCAAACTATTCAGTGTTGACATCCGATTCTTTCGTTTCGAAAGGCAGCTTTTATTGTGAATGGTTATGCGCGTTGTTCAATACGTCTTCTGTACTTATAGACGCTACTTGCTTGCAAAATTTCTACTAAAACCTGTATCCTGAACAATTAGAAGAAAAATATCGTTCTTTGTGCCACCCACGTATGATGAAAAAATTTATATTCTTGAATTAACCCATTTCTTGGAAACACGTTTCCTTTGTTGAGATCTTCTGTTTTCTTGCGAAATGTTGACAAAGGACCGTGACAACATAAACCTCATTTCTGAAGTTTCCGAAAACAGTCTCTTTTTTTGTTTTCTTAGTTTCTTGAAATTTCGGAACTTGTACGTCTTTACCCTTTATTGTTGTTAACCACCGTTGCATGTGGAGGATTTTCGACGATATATTTCAGGGCGAGTGTCTGAACACATGTCCAAGGTTCACAGAATCCACACGTAATAATTCAGCTTCAGATAAGCAGAATTATTTATTTAAATACGACGTTTGAAATTTTCGTTAACATTTCAGCAGGGATAGCTCAGTCGGTATAGTGACTAGCTACGGGCTGGACGACCGGGGTTCGATCCCCGACGGGGGCAGAGGATTTTTCCTCTA